GGCTCAGCCTCCCAAGCCACTGGGATTATAGGCATGTACCACCGTGCCTGGCAAGATTGCCTTTCTTAAAGAAAATATTAATTGAAGATTATGGTATTATTGGAGCTTACTTCCCTATTTGAATACTTTTCTGTTTATTCTTTAATTTTCATCCTTTGTTTAATAGAATGTTGCCCCATTTGGAGAAAATCTTTTGTGGACATCATTTTTTTAAAAAATTCATCTCTTCAAATCTTTTTTAAAAGCTCAGCTTTACAAAGTTGACACATTTGCATACTATTCCATCTGATTTCCACTTCTTGAATTCTTGTAGTTTTCCCTGATTAAGGTGATCCCATGTCCTGGTCGGTCCAGAACAACCCAGTCTCAGAGATTGGATGTTAAAGGCTCTTTCACTTTCAGCTGACCTACTTTGGATTAAAATATATGGTCACCCTAATTAAAGACAACATTTAATTTAAAAAATTGAGGGAATGAAGTATTTTATGTATTTTTGTGTTAATTCACATAACTTTACACATGACACAAACACTTTTTTTTTCTTTTACTTTTTCCAACTAAGCTTCTAGATTTTGATCAGATGTCATGGTACTGCAGGAAAATATTTCTTTTTGTTCTTATAAGCAAGTCAAAAGATTCTTTTGATAAAGACAGCTCTGAGTTCCCCATGATGTATTTTCACTAATATTCATTTCACTAGAGTAGGTTTTGACCTAGCTCCTCCTAAATAGGCAGGGGATTTTTTTGTTTTTTGATGGGGGGAGCAATATTGTACAAACACTGGCTATTTTTATTTGAAAGAACTTTCCCATATCTCATGTTTGATTTTTCTCTCCCTAGTACATATGTTCATCTCTTGTTGCAGATTTTTTTTTATCCTCCTAAATGTGGAATGGGTTTGCTCATTGCTTCATCTCTCTATTAGCAGTTCCATTATTCACACATTTGATGACAGCAAAACAGCCACAGGGATAGGAAAGATCTTTTAGAACTTGAACATCTTGAGGAGTCAAAAATGCCATTTCGATGGACAGTCTTTCATTTCAAAATATTTATATTCCTTCCAACACTGCCCCCCAGCTAAAAAAAAAAAAAAAGATGCTGTTCATTTGTAGTTGTTAAAACAAAAAGCCCTGTGAATATCAAGCTGAGACTCAGGCTTGGGAATTTATTTGGGATGATTTAACCAACTCAGCAGACTTGAGCCCCTCTCTGGGTTCCTCTATCACTGTCTTTCTCTCTCTTTTTTTTCCTAATACCACTTCTCTAAGGAAGCTTGATAGACAGGTTTTTCCTAACTGATTTCCTAATTCTGTGAAATTTGAGTGCCCTTTGAAGAATCACAAACCAAATTTTCACCTTTCAATCACAGTGTTTTCACCCAAAACTCATGTTGAAATTTAATCCCCAGTACCAGGTACTTAGAGGTGGGACCAAATGGGATCTTTAAGATGTGATTGGATCCTGAGTGTCTGTCCCTTGTGACTCAATTAAATCCTTTTATGAACTGATGGGTCATTGATTATACAGGGGGTAGCTTTGTTGCAAAAACCTCTCTGGCATGCTTACACTCCTCCTGCCAGTCTGCAGGGAGTCCCCACCAGCAAGAAGCCTTTCGCCAGATATGACCACCTGATCTTGAACTTACCAGCTTTCAAAATCACATGTCAAATAAACCTCTGTTCCTTATAAATAACCCAATCTCAAGTATTCTGTATAGCAACAGAAAGCAAAACTAAGATACCCCTATTGAGAATCTATGGTCTATCAAAATGCCCTATTGAGGGCTCATTTGGGGACAGTGAGAAGTGGACTTTCGTTGAGTTTAGCTTAGTGTCCTTGGATCTTCAAATGGATTGTACATTTCCCGACACAGACCAGATCTAGTAGGTACAACATTAGTAGATTCCACTTACTATGGCATTTTTTTTTTAATTTTCATGAAGCTGGGGAGGGTGGAATGAAAAGGTTGGAAGTTAAGAGCTTGAAAATTCTTAGATGGCCTAGTGAGTCTAACTTCTTTATATGTAGGTGCAAAACCAAGATTATTAGGAAAGGTGGGATTAACTAGTTTTTTTAATCCAGCAGAGTGCTATTTCCAGGCCTGTCTTGGTAAGGACCATAGGCAGGAAGATGTGGAATACCTAGAGGAAGAATTCAGGTCTTAATTCTGCAGCCCAAGGATTTGGATGTGTGGAAAGTTGGGATTAATTAGCTTGGCAGACTCTTCAGTACTCTAATGGCACAGAGTGGTGGAGATGGTGACAAAAGTGCTACTCACAGGAATGAAGAGGAAGAATCTGATGATCAGTTCTGCATCTCAAAGTTAGCATAGCATTTGTCTCCAAAGATGATGTTAATATGAAGAGAGAAGAAACTTGAACTTAAAATATGGGCAACTGGTAACTTTTTAAGGGAAGTAAATTAAGGTTGGATGGTCATTGGGACTCTTCTGTCATTGAATTGAAATTATACATGTCTAAAAGATATACATTCATGGAGGATAATTCATGTAGTATATATTAGTGGAATGTAGGGAATGTACTTGAAATAAAGTGAAGGAAGCTATAGCCCAGGGACCTTTCTCTATATCTTTTTCTGTGTGTTAAAGCATGTGAGAGAGAAATGTAGATCAACCTAGTTCTAATTGTCTGGGTAGATAGTCATGGAAACTAAGATATACCCACCCGTCTTAATGACCTCTTGTCATTTCCAGTTGTATCTCCATGATTTTTGAGGGTAGGCTCATTCTACCAAGCAGATCTCAAACTTTTGTAGTTATTACTTTATTATTTCTTCATGGGCCACTAGTCATATGTAGACCTTGCTTTTCTTTTTTTCCCACTTTAAGACTCTTTATCCTGTAATGTAATCCAGCCCCACTTTCCTCTCTTTTTAAAAATCTTTCTTTTGGTTGTTTTGGTTTCCTTCTTGAAATGTAAATTGCCTTTAATAGGTGAGAAAAGAGCAGGAAAATTATGAAACTTACACGCAGAAGGATGGGGTTGAGAAGTGTTGTTTAGAGTGGTTTCATGGGAAAGACAAACTGAAGGTAATGGGTAGTACTGGTCCCTGAGTTTCTTTTCTGTTTTCCTTGCCCTGTTTGTACAGGCACTTGAGCTCCGGCCCTCTTTGCTGTCATCACTGAAGAAGGCTGAATTTTTTATTTTACATGATGTACTTGAACCTTGCTTTTACTAGAATGCTACTTGTCAAACCATCTTAGGGTTGGATACATATTTATTTTTATTTGGGTGATTAATTAGCTGTGTTTGAATTCTAAGAACCCTTTGATCCTTTCAACATGAAACTTGAAGGACATTTTGACAAAATGCTTCTTTAAAAATTATTTGTCCTCAAAAACATTTTTATTCATTCAAATAATAGTTGATTATCTTCTAAAGAGAGTCTAGATGGACTCCTTATCCATATCTAGGAGTTAACAAATACAGCTAGCTGCCTGATGAACTGGCCTTATTGTTACTTTATAAACCATAGTGTTACTAATAGTTTCCTGACACTGTGTTTGGAAGCAGAAGTAGCAGAGGTAGTGCAGTGTCAGCTGTGAATTGCCATGGATGTGCTTGTCAACAAGGAGAAGCAGAGTTAGCTGAGACTGTCATGGCAACGGGTGATTAGGGTTGGAGTACTGAGGTCAGTCCTCAAGCCATCCTTCATCCTGAGGGTACACTCACTGGGAAGTCTCAGAGACCTTACATCCTGTGGGTTAGTGCTAAAGAGGAAATTCATCCTGCATTGCTTGGAATACTGTTTTGTGAAGGGCATTCATGGAGACCAACTAGGTTCCCTATGTACTTCTAAATTGTAGATATAATTGACAGAAACTCTCAGGAAGTCCTTTGAGATGTTTGTATTTAAAATCACAGTAAAATAATTACGTGAAATTTTGAAAATAGCAGAAAAAAATATCTTTGGGTCTGTGGCTGTTATTTCTGTGGTCCCATTTTTGTCTTATTGGCAAGTATGTATCGTGTGAACTATGAAGACACTGTCAGTTTTCAAGAGGTGCTTAAAATACCTCTTAAAAATCATCTTGGATTTGGCCAGGTGGAATGGCCAAAGTGGTTATGTTATTAAAAAAGATTTTTTTCTATGAATGTCTGCTCTTAGCAGGATGCAATTTTATATACTGAAATGATCCAAAGAAATGACACTCAGTCCATCTCTTCAAATAGCTCCTTTTTAAATGGAACCTTACTACAGTCAAATAAAGATTAAGTAATTACATTTCTTTCAGTTGCTAATTTGTGTAGCTATTGGTTTTGGTTTCTGATGGAGACTGGACCATCTGTTCTTTCCTCCCCATAGCTTGGGGACAAAGCGAATAAGCAGTTGTGACAATGATTTTGATTCTCCTAGAAAAGAGGAAGGGAAGTCTTTCTCCCTGTCCCCTCAAGTCAGGAACAAGCCAAAACTCTTACATGCACTAGCAGCTTTGCTGAGCCAGGAAGGGGAACCCCTCTGGAGAAGTGAGGCAAGAGGCTCCCAGCCAGTGAGCGCCTGTTGTGACTCCCTAGGGAGTCTGTCCCTGGGGCCACAGGACAAGGCCAGTGATGTTTGTGACAATCTGCAAGGTGCGTAGGAGGTCTAGGTTAGAAGAAACCTTTGAGAACAGTCTGGCATTGGTAGTGAAAATAGGAAATGCTCCAAAGAGAGAGTGACTGTCCTGTATTCCAGGAGCCTCTGATCTGGCAGGGAGGAAGGGGAGTGTATATGGTCATTATTTCATTCAGTGTTGTTGCACCCTGTTCTCCTGCATTGCCAACGTAGTCCATAGCCTCCAAGTGAGCATGGTTACAGTGAACCTGATGGGAACCAGCAAGCCAAAATGCAAGAAAGCCCTCCTGCAGGAAAGGGTTTACAAGAAAGGAGCCCTGTTTGGTAGCATGGATTCCTTGAGGCAAGCAGCTAAGAAACTCTTAAATTAAGGGGTCCTTTAATGTGAATCAAGAATATTCTTGGTGTTTTTTTTTTTTCCCCATGAGACAAGTAATTACTGAAGTCATAACAAAGAGGGAAACATATTTCACACAACAGCATTAAACACCCCATCATCAAACTTATGAACCAAAAAGGATTCCAAGAATGATTTTAAGGGATGTCCTAAAAATGTCATTTTGGAAGCAAAACAAGTCTTCTTGGGTTTGGTTTCAGGAAGGTATAATTTTGCAAGTGCACACTTCGTATTTGTGCTACCCCTCCCCCCATATGTGCTTGTGCTACACACTGAAAAGAGTTTTCATTTTAGCAGGGCTGCTTAAGAGGGGCCCTGCCATTTGCTTTACTAAGTAGCATCTTAACGAATTTGTGTCCTAGTTGGAATCCTATAGTATGTAGCCTTTTCAGTGTGTGTGTGTGTGTGTGTGTGTGTGTGTGTGTGTGTCCGTCCCTGGGGATTGAACCCAGGACCTTGTTCATGCTAGGCAAGTACTGTACCATTGAGCTAAAACCACAACCGTTTTTTTCATTTTCTTTTTTTCTTTCCCTTTTTTGTTTTGTGGTGATGGACATTGAACCCAGGGTTTTGCCCTTGCTAGGCAAGTGCTCTACCACTGAGTGACATCACTAGCCCTATTTTTTTTTTTTTTTAATTTGGATACTTGGTTTAGCCAGCTTGCTCAGGCTGGCCTTGAACCTGTGATCCTCTTGCCTCAGCCCCCCAGGTAGCCAGGATTACAGCTATAGTGGCATGCGACACCATACCCAGTATAAATTTGTATGTTGAATATGAAAACCTGTAGAAGTCAGTGCTGGAATTGCAACCTGACCACCATTGTTTTGTCATCATGGAACCATATTCAGAATGCTCTGTATGTTTACAAGGCTTCAGTAAGCATTTTAGAATTATAAAGCAGATTTAAGTCAGTGATTATGTTTGAACAGATTATCATTGTTTTTAAGGTATGTAACTGGGGGCTGCTTTTTCATAATGTTGCAGTATTGCTTTAGAGCTTAAATCAGTATTTGGAGTGCTTTAATTTTGAAAAAAAAATGTTGCTGTCTTTATTACCGAGAGTTTATAGCTAATTCTGAGAAGTACTATTTTTGCAAATTAATAGGCGTTTTTTTAGAGCAGTTTTAGGTTTACAGAAAAACTGAGCAGAAACCAGTTTCCATATTCTGTGTCCCCTGCATGCCAGTGTCCTCACATTAGTGGGTTACACTTGTTACAGTTAATGAAACAATATGATACATTGTTATTAACCAAAGTCCATGGTTTACAATAGAGTTCACTCTTACATTATGGGTTTTGAAAAGTCTGATGATATGTGTCTATCACTGTAGTATCATGCTGTCCTAAAAAATCTCTGTCCTTCATTTTTTCATCCCAACCTTCCTTATCCTTTGGCAACCACAGATCTTTTTTTTTTATTATCTCCATAGTTTTGCTTTGTCCAGAATGTCCTAGTTGGAATCCTATAGTATGTAGCCTTTTCAGATTGGCTTCTTTCATTTATCAATTTGCATTTAAAGTTTCCTCAGGTTTTAGGGGCCTGATAGCTTTTCTTTCTGTACTTAATGATATTCTAGCTTGGCATGATGACACATGCCTGTAATCCCAGTGACCCAGGAGGCTGAGTCAGGAAGATCACAAGTTCAAGGCCAGCCTCAGCAACTTAGTGAGACTCTTCTCTAAATAAAAAAATAAAGGGGGTAGGGGTTGTGGCTCAGAGATAGAGCACTCGCCTAGCATGGGAGGGGCACTGGGTTTGATCCTCAGCACCACATAAAAATAAAATAAAGGTATTGTGTTCACCTATAATTTAAAAATAAATATTTTTAAAAAATGAAAAATAAAGCCGGGCATGGTTGGCACACACCTGTAATCCCAGTAGCTCAGGAGGCTGAGACAGGAGGATCGCGAGTTCAAAACCAGCCTCAGCAAAAAGTAAGCCACTAAGCAACTTAGTGAGACTCTGTCTCTAACTAAAAATACAAAATAGGGTCAGGGATGTGGCTCAGTGGTTGAATGTCCCTGAGTTCAATCCCTGGTACCAAAATAAATTAAAAAGAAAGAGAGGGGGGGGCGGGGGTAGGTAGGTCTGGGGATGTGGTTCAGTGGTTTAGTGCCCCTGGGCTCAATCCCTAGTATAATCACAATCATCATCATCATCATCATCATCTGTTGTATGATGCATCATAGTTTATTCATTTTACTTATTTAAGGACATTTTGGCTGCCTCCTATTTTCAGCAGTTAGGAATGAAATTGTTGTCAACATTTTATTTTTTCTTTTTACAGATTGTTGATTTTTCAAGACATTTGGTAAATACAGAGGAGTAACTGTTGCCTTGTCACTTGACAAGACTATGTAGTTGTGCAACATGTGGCAAGCTGTCTTTCAAATTTGTATTGTTCTGTATTTTCACTGCAATGAATTATAGTTCCATTTGTTCCACATGCTTAACAGCATTTGGTAGTGTTAGTGTTTTGGATTTTAGCTATTGTATATAGTGGTATCTCATTGTTTTAAATTGTAGCATCCTAGTGACAGATAGTATTCAACTCTTTTCCTTATGATAATTTGCTATCTATATATCTTCCTCAATGGAGTGTCTGTTTAGATCTTTTGCCCACTTTTTATTTAACTTTTTTTTTTCAAAATGTTTTGTAGTTTTAGATGGACAGCATGCCTTTATTTTATTTGTTTATTTTTATGTGATCTAGAGTTTGAACCCAGTGCCTCACACATGCTAGGCAAGTGCTCTGCCATGGAGCTACAGCCCCAGCCTCTCTTGCCCACTTTTTAATTGGGTTCTTGGTTTCTTAAGCTTTGTGAGTTCTATGTGTATTGTGGATATAAGTTTGATCAGATATCTGTTTTGCAAACATTTTCTCCATGTCTGACTTGTCTTCGTTCTCTTAACTGCATTTTGAAGAGCAGCATTTGATTTTTTTGAGTAGTATTTAATTTTAATGAAGCCCAACTTATCAGTTTATTTCTCTCATGGCTTATGCTTTTGATGGAGATGTATCTATTGCTGAACCCAAGATCAAGTAGATTTTCTCATGTTATATTCTGAGTCAGTATCTCTATTTGTTTTATTTATTTAGTTAGTTAGTTATTTAGTTGTAGATAGGCACAATATCTTTATTTTATTTATTTTTAGGTGTTGAGGATCAAACCCAGTGCAAGCGCTCTACTGCCGAGCCACAAGCCCAGCCCCTCTATTTGTTTTTTGTATGTAGTTGTCCAGATGTTCCAACACAATTTGTTGAAACTATCCTGAGAAGCAATACTTTGTTGTTGTTGTTCTCCTAGGGCTTGAACCCAGGGGTACTTTACCAGTGATCTGTATTCCTCAGCCCTTTTTATTTTATTTTTGATTTTGAGGCAGGGTCTCACCAAGTTGCCCAGGCTGGCCTTACACTTGTCTTCATCTGTCTCAGCCTCTAGAGTTGCTGAGATTACAGGCGTGCACCACCAGAAGAAGCAAATATTTTAAAAATCAGACGGATTTTCTGAGAGAATGATGCTTCATTCCTGCATGAGTTTCCCTGCATTCCTTCTGTAAATGGTTCACAAAGTCTCCTGAATTAGAGAGCCCCCTCTTCATGTGGGTATAAGGTTTTGCCTTTCGCCCAAAGTCATGCACTCTTGTGACAGCCCTGTCCAGAACATCCTGCAGTGATGGAATGTCCCCAAAATTATGCACTGTCCATTACTGCGACACACACGGGACTACTGACCACTTGAAATGTGGCTGGAGTAACTAAGGAACTGAATTTCTAATTTTAATGAATTTAACTTAAGTAGCTCCATGTAGCTTATGGTGATTGTATTAAATAGTACCATTATAGAAAGTTGGAACAAATTTGAAAGACTATTAATCCAACAGGTTCATTTGTTTTCTGTAGCAAATGCTTGATGAGCACCTATTATGTACCTTACAAATTTCTAGGTACTGGGGATACAGGGATGAAGAATACACTTGAGGTGGAATTCACTGAGGATCACAGAATTCAAGTGATTTTTAAAGATTGCGGTAATATCAGAATCCAAATTAAAATCAGGTCTTCTAATTGTAATAAATATACTTTGCCCATGCTCTTTTGCCCAGGAAGCCCCCTTTCCTCTTGTTTTTGTCATATTTCTCACTGCTGTCAATTAGAAGGTGTCTGACCAGGTAACACATCGTTACAGTTTAACCAAAGGGCCATGGAAAACAAGTAAAGGGCTGGGGGTGTAGCTCAGTGGTAGAGCCTATGCCTAGCATGCACAAGGCCCTCAGTTCAGTCCCCAGCTACAAAACACACACACACACACACACACACACGGAAAAAAGTAAAAAAGTAATAATGTGTATTCCCACTTGAAAAAGCCCACATGCATACATGTTTGCTTGTTCAGAACTTTCATGGGAAACTGGGATTATTTTCTATTTGTTAACCGTTTTGCAGAGATGAATAATTCTTCACTTTTCTCAATAGCAAGGTTTAGATACTTGAAGGAGGTAGTTGGGGGACCTCAGGGCTTTTTCCATGTGTTCAGCCTTATCCTTTTCTTTTCTTTCTTTCTTTCTATTTATTTAAGTTGTAGATAAATACAATATTTATTTTTATGTGGTGCTGAGGATCAAACCCAGGGCCTCACACATGCTAGGTAAGCACTCTATCACTGCACCACAACCCCAACCCCTTTATTCTTTTCTTGAAGGTGCCATATTCTGAGATCAAGGTGACTAAAGCCTGTTCCCAGTTCACTTTCTCTTCTGCCACCTGAGTCGTAGGCTCTGGCCCAGCGTGACTTAGAAGCTCAAGGTAAAAGCATGTGGAAGATGGATTTGCTTTGTCAGCAGCACCATCCCATTTTGTGACAACCTGTTGGAACTTGAGTGGTGCCTCAGTTCTACCAGCAGAGCCTCCCTCCCTTTACGAGGGGTACTTCTGTCCACCACCCCACCCCCAAGATATGGTCATCTCTCTAGGCTACTGGGCACTTTGCTTCATCTTCCTCTCTCTCGCTCAAAATACAGTTGCAAAAACTTCTAATGTGTCCCCCATTTTACTTCCTTGTTTCTTCTTCCCCTTTATCCAGCTAGTCCTAGTACTTTAAGAGTTTCTTTCATCTCAATAC